TTACAATGATATCCTGTGCTACTGCTGAGCATCAGTCAAGGTTCATAAGAAAAGGGTACAATTACTCAGTTCTTCAGTTATTGGTTAAATAACTGTTTCTAAAGTTCATAGTTTGTCTGCTTATGTGCCTCCAATAAATAAAAGGTCTCATAATTATTTTCTCCAAATTTCATTAGTCTTCAACATCTTACTTGGAAGCCAGACCTTGTTAAAGGCAGATGCATTATTATATCAAATTATTGAGCACTGGGAAACAGAATGAAAGTCTTTAAAAATGGTCTGCCATGGACTTTAGATAACCTTTCTCTTAACCATAACACACACACACACACACACACACGTGTGTGTGTATTAAAATACATGAAATAAGAAAATAAACTCCATTGCTTCATATTGCTCTCAAAATTTATGACATGGTCTAGAGCTTAGTAAACCCTTTCTTAATAAAAAGTGAAAAGTAATAATGTAAACAGGGTCTTGCTAGGAATATTTAAAATACTTAAGGAAACAAAGTTTGGAAACACCCCGAGTCCACAGGGGATGCCACCTACACACAGGTACTTTACTAGGTAGAAAAAGCTCATTAAAACAGCTCCAAGAGGCCAGTAATTGTTAGACTAGACAGAGTACATGCTTCAAAAATAATGAAGCTCTATATATTTAAAGATATTACATAATTAAGATTTCCAGTTAAATAAATCTGACCTTTCCCCCTAATAAAGAGGTTTTACTATAGAGAGAGACATTAATACAACATACTCCGAGTACTGACGCTGAAAAGGTTACTCAAATTCAGCCTTCCGGGATTTCTGCCTTTGCGTTGCTCCTTCCCCACCACGTACAGGTCACGATTCAACACGTCCAATTAAGGTTGGAAGGGCCTCGAACCCTGAGTGCTCAGGATCGGGGTGAGGGAGTGCAGTCTTTGTCAGACTACCTGCCCAGGCCACTGCCGTGAACTTCAGTGCATTTACAACTGTCTTCGATTCTTACTGTCCTACACCGAGCTCTCTACAGGCGTTTCCTTCTGTGGAACATAACAGGATCTGGGCAATGCCAGGTTACACAAAGTTAAGCATGCTTTGCTGCACGACCTCTTGTGGCCTTTAGTGTGGTAACGAATCTTCGAGAGAGAGAGAGATGTGGTATGGATCATCTCAACTTACTTGGCTCAGAAGCCTTTCTGGTAAAACAATTTATAGGACCAGTTTCTTCAGAAGGCACTCTAGAAAACACTAGACTAATACACCCACTGCATTGCCAAAGTAAAAGCGTGAATCAGCTTGAATCCTTTCAAAGGCAGTACTGTCCCAAGGAGGTGGTCAAAACTTCTGGACGGCCTTCAGTGTCTGGCTCCTGCTTACCTCCCAGCCCCCGCCTCACTTCCCCTCACTCCCTCACATTCACGCTCTTGCAGGAGGAAACTATCAATGATCTCCTGAAATAACAGGTCCCAGGGCCTTGCTCTGGCTGTTTCCTAGCTCCCCACTGCTTGACTTGCTTCTACCCAGTTTTCAGAGTGAGTTCTGGAGGAGCCTTCTTAGACCTCCAGGCATGCACCCCCCAAACCTCTTTAAGTATCCCCAAACCCACTTAACCTTAGTGCCATCACTACATCTCCTGCCCTGAGTCTGGTTGGCCAGCACTGAGGTTGGAACTATGTTCTACATGCTGTTCCGCTCTATTCCCAGTGCCTACCACAGGTGCCTGGTCCTTGGAAGGCCATAACTATATTTGTGGAATTACTGAAGTGACAGCACTTGCTAGACAGCTGAAGGCACATCCCTGGTGGCTAGTAATTCAGAACTGCCTGAGCCCATTCCGTGGGCATATATAAAGGTTTACTTACCCATAGGTGGGTATCAGAGGGTGTTTAAAGCCTTAGTCACCAAGTATGTTTTTAGGGTACAATTCTGAAGCCAGTTCTACTGATCCACATTAATAAGGAAGTAGAAGGGGCATATCCACTGCAGTTTCTACACAAAGACATCTTACCACTAGGATGCTGGGTCCTATCAGATGGACATTGGAGAATGACGCAGAGTTGGTCTGAAGAAAAGGGAATCTCATTCAACTCCTTAGAACTGTCACCCGGCTCAGAGCCAGAGCCTCAGGACAGCCTGGTACAGGTACTTATTCATCAAGCCCTCTTCTCTCTGGCACCCAGAGAGATACCATCAGAGTCCGGGGATAGAGCCGTGTCACTGCTTTCTCATCACTGCTATGACATCTCAGCTCGCTTCGCCATTCTAGAGCAACAGCACTGACGTGTGTCCATAGCTCTAATCTGGAAGTTTGCTCTGTAGCAGATGCATGTAAAAGATAAAGGTGGTCATGCTATCAGAGTACTTGGTAGGGAGAAGAGACCAAAATTGCTTCCCCGGAACTTGGACTTCTCTGTGACTTTCAAGGAGTTCTTTAGGACGGTGACCAACAAAAGTGGCAACCTTGCAGGAATATATCATGAGAGCCTAGGAGCCAGTATAAAGGCCTCTGCTTCTTCTAAGGTCACTGGAGTAGATTAAAATCTCAAATTCAGGGTGACTTGCCTGTTACTCAAGACCCAAGTTTTGTTCACTTCCTGCTTCTAATTGTCGTGCACAATTAGGATGGGGTTTCTGACCTCAAGTATGTCACAGTCGAGTACTGCACAGATCTGTTTCCCCAAAGACTCTTCCCCCGTTGGCCACCACACAGTTTTACAGTCCTTTCTTTCCCCATGTTTTGGTCTTGTAGCTTGTGGCTGCTACCCCTACACTCTTGATGAGATCAAAGATGGGGTGCCTGTGTGTGCGCACAAATACCCATGAACAGCCGACCTTTCTTTTCTGTATAATCCACTCATGTGCTGTACTCGGGCAGCAAACTATATGTGCAAGAATAGCTCCCTTTGTCACTGGGGAATCTCTGGGGTAAAGCCACCAGCGTGCTCCTCCACCTGCTGGTCTCCCAAAGAGAAGGTTGTAAATTCTTGTGTATTTTTGGTTTCCCCTCATGATAGGAGAGGTAAGCAGCTTGATGGGAATGCATGTTGCTATTGTTGTTGTTTTCAGAGAAACAAACTCTCAATGAAAAATTAAATTTGGAGTCATAGGGAAAAGCTAGAATTAGAACCCACGTCTCAAAACTGAATGAAGACCCTCAAACTTGTTGCCTTTGTAAATCAAACTGTAGTCTTGCATGGCTGATGTAGGCGCATGGAGGAGGAGGCGGGGGAAGAATTAAACTGCAGTGAAGAGAGATCAGAATGAATGCAGAGTCATGACTTCCTCTCTACAGTGAAGCGTGTGTTTCCTGAATTAATAGAGATATTATTTAGTGAATGTGTGAAAAAGACAAAGGCCACTTTGTGAAGTCTTTTTCTTATAACTTTTTATAATTTTCTCTAAGTTTTTATGATCTGATCTGACTTCTTGCTATAGAACTAATTCAACTTAACTTTCTGACAGATTTGGAGAGGCAGTTATGATACAGAAGGTTGTATACTAACTAGCCCTCTGAGAAAATAGGGCAACTTGCAATGACATACTCTCCCGCATTGGTTACACTACTAGGAGGTAACCTCACACCACGTTAATCAATATTTTGCTGCCCATTTTACCATATAAGCTATTGATGTTAAAGATATAGTTCACCATATAAACTTGATTAATTAAAGAAAAATAAAGCTCCTTATTGCTGACTTTATGAGGTTAGAAATAGCACCCAATGCTAATCTGCAATGCCAAGAAATGAAGATGGCTTAAATCAGATCTCATGACTAATGCATGAGATCCAAAGTTCTTTTATCCCTGGCTATTTTAGAAAACTGGGGTGTATTTTTACCATAAAAATTAATTCTATAAGATTTATTAAGATAAGACAAAATGCCTAATTATTAATAGCACACAATCCAGAGTTTGTTCTACTGATGATCACAGAAACACTGTTTCTCCCTTTTAATTTTTAAGAAATTATGCAATGGGTTATGTCCAGAGTCAAGAATATTATTTTTGATCCTTACTTGTTGTTTTTTTAGATAGTCGATATCTGGAAAGATGATGGAAAGTTTAGATTGCTTTCTGTGGTCTCTATTCCATTTCAATTGTACTTGTGAATTCATTTAAACAAAGAAATATATCTAGTAATAAAGTAAGCCAGTTATTTTTGCTTGTTTTTGTTTTTGGTTATGACAAACTGTGAAATGCTGTGTTTTTCCTATAGTTCTAGTCCATGAAATCTGCAATCTTTCCACTTGATTTACAAAGGACCCTTAATTACTGCTGTCATTAGCACCTAGTGTTCAAAACAGTCTGTTAAAATGTACTGTTAGTCTCACCTCCAAGTCCCTGCTTGCTTTATTTTAATTTTTTTCCCAAGGATAAGTAAAACAATAATTGCCTTAATAACAACAATCATATACAGTGAATTAAATAATATTCCAAGGTCTTGGGTGCCTATTTCTTTTTGTTCAGAATTCGGCATTTGTGTGTTAAGATTGGCCTAGAGTTTGAACAAGTATCCATTAGGAGGGTTATTACTAAGGAAGACTTATTACCTGGGTTTTAAAAACAGGTCACTCATTTGCCTTTTTCTTTCCACTTGGATAGGGATGACAGACAACTGCTGTGAAGCTTCAGTGTTTCTGCCTGGTCATGCACGGTTCTGCAATATAATGCATAAATGTATAACAACAACTTGGGCTAGCTTGATACCTCACTTGGAATAAGGAAATCCAGCCAGGCTCGTCCATGTGACCCCCGCCACTCCACCCCCGCCCCCCTCCGCGTGTGTATACACGAACACACGCGGACACACGCACACGCACACGCACACACACGCGTCAAAAGTTGATTCATTCCCAAGATCCCCCAGAATCTTTCTTTTTCTCTTTTCTGGCAGCTCTGGTTCCCAGCCTGGGTTGTAGGAGCTTGGGGGCGTGGGAGGGGCGGGGAGCGCGAGGCGAGGGAGGCGGGATCCCGGTGCCGGTGTGTGCCGCGCCCGCTCCTGCCGGGTGAGAGTCCGGGCCGGGTTTTGCGCTGTGTCCCGGGGCTTGTCTCACGGCCTCCAGCCGCCGCCGCTGCCGTGTTTACTGAGCTCGCGCGTCCTGATATCACTCCGCTGGCATGGAGGAGGAGGAGGAGGTGGAGGAGCGAGAGGAGGAGGAGGAGGCGGCGGCGGCGGCGAGCAGTTGATCATTGTGATGGTGGCAGGAGCAGCGGCGGCAGCGGCAGCCCAGCCGAGCGTTAGGGGCTGCTCTCCGCGCGGCGTTTTGCAAAGGACTTCACCGATCTACTTTTGCAGTCGCCTCGGACTGTCCATGTGTTTACTTCCCCCAGCCCGAGGATTCGCTATCTAGGATCCTGTGAAATGCAACTGAGCAGCCAAAGTACTTTGCGAACACGGGGCGGCATAAACACCAAAACTTTTTTGTGGAAGGAAAATGCAATAAGCAAGCTTGCCGTTTTCCGATGCGGTGTGGAGTGAGTGTGTGTCGCGCGTGTCCGCACTGGAGGCATATGCTTGTGTGTGTATATGGGGTGTGTTTTTCGGTACGTAGGGAGAAAATGCTTGCCAACCACCGGAAATCTCCTGGAATTTATTAGAAAATAATGGATTATAAAAAGAAGGCAGGCGAGGAGCGGATCTCCCCTTGAGTTGCAACCCGATTTGCTGCTGGCTCAGTTTGTTGTGATTCTTTTTGTTGATAGGTGTCTGATGGCATTCTGATCCCCCCTTTTTTTCTCCTTGAGCTTTACAGTTTTTACAAAAAGGGAAACAAACAAAAAAACCACCCCAAAAATCTCTCCCCCTTTTTTTTCGCCCCGTCGGGATCGCTGTTTCCATCCATGTGCTTGCGTCTCCCCCGCGTTCCACTTAAACTATTTTAATCCTTGGACCCAAGGAGGAGGCTGATAGGGGGGGTGGATAAAAAAAGTTCTTCCAAAATAGTGTGCCCGGGGAGCAGGATGGGGGATTTCGCAGCCCCCGCTGCTGCCGCGAATGGCAGTAGTATTTGCATCAACAGTAGCCTGAACAGCAGCCTCGCCGGGGCCGGGATCGGTGTGAATAATACTCCCAATAGTACTCCAGCTGCTCCGAGTAGCAATCACCCCGCTACCGGCTGCGGCGGCGGCGGCTCCGGGGGCCCCGGCGGCGGCTCGGCGGCCGTTCCCAAGCACAGCACCGTGGTGGAGCGGCTCCGCCAGCGCATCGAAGGCTGCCGGCGGCACCACGTCAACTGCGAGAACAGGTACCAGCAGGCTCAGGTGGAGCAGCTGGAGCTGGAGCGCCGGGACACCGTGAGCCTCTACCAGCGCACCCTGGAGCAGAGGGCCAAGAAATCGGGCGCCGGCAGCAGCAAGCAGCAGCACCAGAGCAAACCCCAGCAAGATGCGGAGGCTGCCTCGGCGGAGCAGAGGAATCACACGCTGATCATGGTGAGGGCGCGCTGGCAGCGGGCATGGGGCGCGCGCGCGCACGCATGGGGGGGTGCTGGAGCTTTTTACATGGGGGACCGGGGTCTGATTTGCTCGGTGGGCGAGGTGGGCCTGAAGCCGAAGGGTTAACGTCAACTTTTCTAAGGGGGGAAAAGCTGCGGTCGCCACTACCTGTTAATCTGTCAGGGTTGTCAAATTTGGGGAAGAGGGGGCGAGAGGGGAGAAGCCAGTCACGACTGCGAGGGGCGGAGGGAGCCTGGAGGAGCGGCGGAGGGAGGCACTGGAAAAGTTTTTTTCCCCCTCTCCTTTTCTTAGACACCGATTTGAAAGAGAGTGAACCCAGAGTTGAAACCTCGCCCCTCCTCTTCTCTGCTCCCACCCCACCCCTCGCAGTGCCGCCTCGCCTCCCAAGACCCGTCCCCCTTCGCCCACCCCTCTCCGCACATCCGCCGGGTGCGGGGAGAAATTGATGCTGTCGCAGATTCTGGGCGGGCAACAGGCCCTCGATCCCCAAGGGGAGCAGAGGGAAGCGAGAGGCTCTCGCCTCCTCTCCCCAGCTCACCCCCTTTGGGCTGAGAAAGTCTGAGAGTTTTGTGAATGAACTTTGAAGTGGGTGAGAAGCGAGCGAGAATGGTTGCGCGCGCGCGCCTCCGCGGGAGCGCGCGCGAATGCGGGGCGCTGGTGCGCTCCTCTGCCGCCAGAGACCCGGGGCTGGCTCGGCAGGTGGAGCGGCGAATAGGGTCGATGGGGGGAGCGGCCCTGCGGGGGCGGGAGGAGAGAACTGCGTCCTCAGCCTGCGCCAGGAGTCTGCGCCACGCGACTTCACTGGGGATTGTGTCCCCTCCTCCTCTTATTAAACTTGAGTGCACTGAGCTGCTCCGCTGCGACCCCCGCCAACTTTCCGGGCCCGTCTAATAAGCCCGGAGGAGTGGATGGTAGCAGGGAGGTGAAAGAGGCTTAAATGGCTGGGTGGGTGGGTTCGAAGTAGATTGAGCAGCCAATGGCTTAACTTCTCCGGGAGGAAGGGGCAGTTCCCACTCCCTAACCCTGAGGGTAGAATCCTTTCTCTTATCTCCTCTCTCAGGTTCTTTTGCTTTCCTTTCGGGGTGGGGGGAGGCCGGAAGCTTGGGAAGGTGCTGCCCCTTCCCCCACCGTGCCACTCGGGTTAGTGAGGCGCGTGTGCGCGGAGCGGGCTGGGCGGTGGGAGTCTGGGAGCGCGGAGCGCCTTTGCCCGTTCCTCCGGCACACCGCACGTCGACCGGCGGCCCTGGCAGTGTGCGGTTGATAAATCACACACGTCCTGGGTCTGGGAGTCATCGGCGCCGGGGGTGGTGCCGGTGCCGCCGCAGGCTAGCGCCGGGCGCTCCGGCCGGCGCTCGGTGACAAAGAGCCGGCTTGGGGGAGGGGAAGAGGCGAGGCCGCCCTGCGCGCTCCCCCACCCGCTCCACCGCCCCCGCCCCGCACGTGAAGAGGAACAATTTGTTTATCTTGGCCTTCAAGAATCCTGCCCTCCTCCCCGTTCTCCGAGGCCGCCAGCCCCTCCTCCCTTCCCTCCCTCCCTCCCTCCCTCCCAGGCGCGATCCTGCCCAGTCCCGCCGGCAGCACCTTCCTCCTCCCCTTCCTCCTCTCCCTGGCTCGTCCTCCTCCAGCCCTCGTTCCCCCTCCCTTCTGGGACGCGGCCGTGGGGGAGGGAGCGGGAAACGCTTTGTCCGCCTCGCGGCCCAGCTCAGTCCGGGAGGCCGCCGGCTGGGAGGGGCGCGGCGCCCCGCGGCCGCCCCCGCCCTGCTCCTGCCTCCGCCCTCCTGCCGCCCAGCCAGCCCCGCGCGCGAAATAGAGGCGGACTCGGCTTGGAGGAAGAACGAGTGTCACAGAGTCAGGGAGGGCGGTCCTCCTTTACCAACAGGAAGCCTAAAACCACTGGCACACTGTAGCTTGTCTGATTGTGCCCGGAGGCGGGGCGGCCCTGCGTCTTGACCGAATCTCCCGCGCCCTCCTCGTACCTATCCCCCCACCCCACCCCCACGCACGCCTCGGCTCTTCTCCCCGCCCCCTCGCGCCCTTCGCGGGTCTGAGACTCACTTTGTGAACCTTAGACTGAAGCAGGATTTTCAGGGCACCAAGAAATCGTCCTCGCCTACTCCACGCCCCCTTTTCTGTGTTTGTACTCGGGTTGGCGTAGAAATGGGCCGCTTTCGTGAGGATCCCCAATCCCAGTCCCACGGAAGCTCCCCTGGCCTTTCGGAATGGAGAACCGCTGTGGACGGACCGCGTCAGCTGGGCACCGCTGGAACAAAAGCCAGTGCCTTGCCCTGTGCTTGGTAGCCCTGCATTGGCGGGCGGTAGCAGTAGAGTTTGCGGCCGGAAAGTTTTGTGTTCGGGTTGTGTTCCCTGGAGAGTACGACATGGGCCCTCCGAGGGGTCGAGGGGAGAACTCGGGGTGTGCGCGCCTGGGTTCTAATACGCCCGCAGGTGGAAGCAAGCCCAGAATCCTCACGTTACCTGGAAGGAGGCAGCCAGCCCAAGCCAGAGCTTACTTTTGAAAATGAAAACATACTGCTTACTTGAATGGATGAGACCTAATTTCATTGTGAATCTCAGTTTAGCAAGTTAACAACAGATAGACTTGAAAAGTGATTGCCTGAAAAGAATGTTTTTTAATATCAATTTTGTGATAATTTAGCCTTTTCATTAAACCGATGTAAATGCCAAGGCTATGTGCAGTCTAGGAGTATGTTCTGGCTTCAACTGCATTTCACATACGCACCTCCCACTGATATCAGTGGCAAGTAGGTGTGATGAGTGGAATGAAAATAAACAGCCTTAAATCTTAAAGAGTTGCATGTACATTCTGTGTACCACAAAAAGTAAAGAAAAAACACCATCCTCTACAAGTTCTTTTTCTTTTAGAAATAATTAGTTTAAGAATTCACATTTCAAATACCCTGAAACGAAAGGGTATTTTAACTTAGCCTATGTATGAGATAAAATCTTGGAAACAGGTTGCAAAGAAAATGTTGATCTTGATTTTCTTGAACTGGCTGCTGGCTTATAGCTCTGCGGGGGGGGGGGGGGGGGGGGGTCGGCACAGAGCAATTATATTTGGTTTGCAGATTGGGTCCTCTATTTGAAAAGCCCTAAAGAAAAGCAATAATCAGCCAGAGCCAAATAATAATAATGGTGATGATAAAAATAAAGACGAATAGGATTCTTTTCTGTTTTATTGCTATTGTTTACCTTCGGAAGAGCCAGTATGTCCAGAGTACTAAATATCGATTAGTTCTCTTTCTGCCTGGCTTGGGTTAAGAAGGCTGTCTAATCAGGGCTTACCTCTTGATTTGTTTTCTTCTCTTACACATGTACAAGCATATGCATGAAAAACAAACAAGCTTTAAGCAGGATGGGTGAGGTGAAGTAGACACCTTCCTTGTCTCCAGACTGCTGGGAATGACTGGGTTGTGTGTGGGTCTCTAATTTAGAAAGCAGGGCGCACAGGCCTGGGTTTGAAGCTGCATTACCTCAGACACTTTGGACATGTAGTCAAATGACAACACCCCCCAACACACACTTTATTTATACAAAAGTGTTCCCCTCCAAGATTTATTGGTGAGACCTATTGATTTCACCTATTAGAGAGTCTCAGTTGAAAACGTGCCTTTTCCTAAAATAGTTTTAATTATTTGTGGTAACAGAGGGAGACATTGTTCATTCTTTGTACTTGGAACTGCACTCCTGCTTAAAATTTTAAGGTATATTCCAACTGACAAATGTATTTTCAAGCCAAAGATAGATTGACTTGACAGAGGTGTAATTATTCAGGCACACCAGAAAGCATGACAATGCAGTCTTCAGAATTTCAAAATGGTGATAGTCGGCCTTAACCTGTTTTCATGACCTTTGCACTGTATTAGCAGCGTCGTAATTTTCAGAGCGTGCTTAATTTATACACAGCTTACAGGCTGCAGGAATCTAGGTGATTCCTGCTCTGAAGAGTGTATCACATAAAATTCATTTGGTAATAAACATATTAATTATTGAATGTTAGAAAACACTGTAGCCTATCCAGAATGTTCTCATCCATTTCTGGATTGGTCCAGGGAATGTCAACATATCAGGCCATCGCTAAACCTCCTTATAAATGAATCTGGTTTCCTGTTTCTTATCCTGTTGAAGGTAAATTACTGGCTCTAGATCCAGTTCTTTTGGCAAGCTTGTAATGTCAAACCATTTGTAAACCTCTCCTATGAACCCTTCATGGGCTTCTCCTGTTCTTCCTATCCTGGGTTATAAGATTGACAGGTGTCTTGAAAAGCCTTCCAGAGCCCAGTAGCCCACACAGGGTGTGCCTTAAGTTAGTGAAAAACTTTTTGAAATTTCCTTTCTCTGTGCTTCACTAGTGGTTGTCTTTTCTTTTAAATCTCAAGAATCATTTTCTCCCCCCAAAAAGCTTTAATAAATATTGTTATTTATGTTCTTTGGTCGTGGTGCATTTCATTTAGTACTGGGCAGCCAGGGATCAGAAAAGTAGAAGCTGAGTTAGTTAATCATTAATCATAATCCATAAAATTCTCTCAGGCTGAGTTGGTTCCCAGGGGAAGCTGAGTTTTCAGGCAGTAATACATGTGACACTTTCCATCCCGTCTTAGAATTATAAGGGCAGGCTTTAGAACCACAGTAGGTTTTCTGCTGAGGAAAATAAACAGCCCAGGTACATGGTTTACTGATATTTCCGTAAGAAGAAAGATGAGGATTTTAAACCTTAAAATAGTCATATAGAGTTATTTTCTAAACACTTCTCTGAGACCAAGAGCCAACTGTTGTTCGAGAGGTTTCCTGGCAGGGTTCTTCCATTTGGTTGAGATAATAATAGGGGATCTCACTCTCTCCCCCTTCTCTCCCTTCCCCTCCTCCTCTCTCCCCTTAGTGTGCTACATATGTAGAAAGAATCTAGTAATAAATTAGGTTGCGCATTGCATAGTAATTCTTGTAAGCATTTGAAGTAG